GGAAGCTCCTGGCTCCTGGCTTTGGATAGGTGCAGTTCCGGCCATTACAGCCAACTGGGGAGTGAGCCAGCGGATGGAAGACCTCTCTCTCTCTCTCTCTCTCTCTCTCTCTCTCTCTCTCTCTGCCTCTCCTCCTCTCTGTGTAACTCTGACTTTCAAACAAATACATAAATATTAAAAAAAAAAAAAAGACCCTGCACATTCCCCCTTTCCCTGCTCTAAGTATGCAGCAGCTCTTGCTCCCACACAGTAAGGAATTCGGTAACACGCTGGCACGAGGTCCCAGTACCCAGGACTGTGGAAGCGAAGAACGGAGGAAAGGGGAGCAGGGAGGGAACCAGAGCTACTAATGAAGTTTCAGGACAGGCGCCCAGCATCAGCCTGGTTCCTGCTCCAAACCAACATGCAGGGCTGCGGCACTGGTTCTACAGAGGCAGGAGGACGGCATAAACAAACAGCCCGCAGGCCCGGCTCCTTATCAGATACACAGCTGGCAGCACACTTCATTGTCCTCTGCTGCAGTTTCCTTATCTGAAAAGTGGGATTCCTATCTCACGGAATCTCACCAGGAGGCCCTGGCAGACGTAAGGGATCAGGAGATGTAGCTCTCCTCTCTCCCACCCTCCCAGGCTCCTCAGAGCCCTCACAGACAGTGCCCAGCCCGCTACAATCATGGCGCCTTTTCCTACTGGGATCCGGTGACTGCTTCCTCCCAGCTATTTCCACAGCCTTCTCCAAAGGCTGAGAGACTGACTCGCGCCCGTGAGTACCTCGAGACGGGCTGAGTCTCGGCAGAGAGAAGGCCCCACCCAGGACAGTGCCGAGCGGTGTCCACTGGGCACCGAGGGGCAGACTGCAGATGGTTTTTAAAACATGGAAGTTTTTTGCACATTTCCAAAAACAAACTCTGTGATAAGACTCAGTATACATACTGAAATATTTCTCTGTTAATAAAATCATTTAGCATAGTTTTTAAAACTGCAAATAAAAAGGCAAATTCCTTTTCTTTTCTTATTTTTTTTAAAGATTTATTTATGGAGCCAGCACCGTGGCGCAGTAGGTTACTCCTCCACCTGCAGAGCCAGCATCCCATGTGGGAACTGGTTCTAGTCCAGGTTGCTCCTCTTCCAGTCCAGCTCTCTGCTGTGGCCCGGGAGGGCAGTGGAGGATGGCCCAAGTGCTTGGGCCCTGCACCTGCATGGGAGACCAGGAGGAGCACCTGGCTCCTGGCTTCAGATCAGCGCAGCGCGTGGCCATAGCAGCCATTTGTGGGGTGAACCAACGGAAGGAAGACCTTTCTCTCTGTCTCTCTCTCTCTCACTGTCTAACTCTGCCTGTCAAATAAATAAAAAATAAATCTCTTTTATTTATTTGACAGATAGAGTCACAGACAGTGAGACAGAGAGACAGAGAGAGGGGTCCTCCCTCCATTGGTTCACGCTCCAAATGGCTGCCATGGCTGGCACTGCGCCGATCTAAAGCCAGGAGCCAGGTGCTTCCTTCTGGTCTACCACACGGGTGCAGGGACCCAAGCACCTGGGCCATCCTCCACTGCCCTCCCGAGCCACAGCAGAGAGCTGGACTGGAAGAGGAGCACCTGGGACTAGAACCGGCGCCCATATGGCCATATGCCTTATGCCGGCGCCACAGGTGGAGGATTAACCAAGTGAGCCACAGTGCCGGCCCCGATTTACTTATTTATTTAAAAGGCAGAGTTACAGACAGAGAGAGAGGTCAGTCTTCCAGCTACTGGTTTACTCCCCCAATTGGGTGCAACAGCTGGAGCTGGGCCAGTCTGAAGTCAGGAGCCAGGAGTTTCTTCCAGGTCTCCCACACAGGTGCAGGGGCCCAAGTACTTGGCCATCTTCTACTGCTTTCCCAGGTCATAGCTAGATTGGAAGAGGAGCAGCCGGATCTTGAACTGGCACCCATTTGGGATGCCAGTGCTGCAGGCAAAGGCTTAACCTACTATGCCACAGAGCCAGAATCCAAAATTCCTTTTGTAAAAACAAAACAGTAGGGGGCAAGAGGTTGGACTGACAGCTAAACCCTGGTGAAAATGCCCACGTTCCACATCAGAGTGCTGAGTTTGACGTGCAACTCCATCCTGCTAACGCACACCTGGGAGGCAGCAGGTGACCGCTCAGGTGACGGGGCTCACACCACCCCCTGGAGACCCAGATGAGCTCCTGGCCCGTCAGCCCAGGCCACTGTGAGCGCGTGGGGAATGAACCAGATGAGGGCTTTCTCCCTCTCTCTCTTCCTCTCTATCTGCCAATCTCTCTCTGTGTTTCCAACAAATAAATGAAAATTTTAAAAATAGAAAATCAAAATAAAACATCAATTCTGTGCTCCTCTGTTTCTTAAAAAAAATTATTTATTTATTTATTTGAAAGAGTTAGAGAGAGAGAGAGAGAGAGAGAGGGAGGGAGGGAGGGAGGGAGAGAGGTCTTCCCTTGGCTGGTTCAATCCCAGTCAGGCTGAAGCCAGGAGCTTCTTCTGTGTTTCCCATGTGGGTGGCAGGGGCTGAAACACTTGACCACCTTCTGCTGCTTTCCCCAGGACATTAGCAGTGAGCTGGACTAAAAGTGGACCAGCCAGGACACAAATCAGCACCCACAGGGCATGCCAGCACCGCAGGCAGCTACTTTACCTGCTATGTCACAACACTGGCCCCCTCAGACTCATTTATTTATTTGAAAGTCAGAGTTACACAGAGAGAGAAGAGGCAGAGAGAGAGAGAGAGAGAGAGAGGTCCTCCATCCGATGATGGTTCACTCCCCAGTTGGCCGCAACAGCCGGAGCTGGGCCAATCTGAAGCCAGGAGCCAGAGGCCTCCTCCGGGTCTCCCACGTGGGTGCAGAGGCCCAAGGATTTGGGCCATGTTCTACTGCTTTCCCAGGCCGTAGCAGAGAGCTGGATCAGAAGTGGAGCAGCCGGGTCTCGAACTGGGGTCCATACAGGATGCCAGCGCATCAGGCCAGGGCATTAACCTGCTGCTCCACAGCACTGCCCCCAACCTGACTTTTTGATCAAAAGGAAAAGCCTTTTAAATTCATATCCTTCTGGGGCCAGTGCTGTGGTGTAGTGGGATAAATCTCTGCCTGTGGCGCCAGCATCCCATATGGGCACCAGTTCAAGTCCTGGTCTGCTATGGCTTCCAAAAGCATAGAGGATGGCCCAAGTCCTTGGGCCCCTGGACCTGTGTAGGAAACACGGAAGAAGCTCCTGGCTCCTGGCTCCTGGCTCCGGATCGGCATAGCTCTGGACATGGCGGCTAATTGGTAAGTAAATCAGCGGACAGAAGACCTTTCTCTCTGTCTCTCCCTCTCTTCCTCTCTCTCTCAAATAAATCTATAAAATTAAAAAAAAAAAAAAGGAAAAAGAAAACCATATCCTTTTAACACCAAAGACAAAGCTGGAAGTGAAAAGAGAGAGAGAAACCTGGGGTGCGTAATGCCCTGGGAATAAAGGATAGCACTCCGAGGGGTGGACCACAGCAGCCCACACTAAGAGGGAGGGCCAGCCAGTGCACTTTGCCAGTACAGCAGTCCAGTCATTACTTCAAAACCAAGGAAAGAGGCCGGCGCCGCGGCTCACTAGGCTAATCCTCCGCCTAGCGGCGCCGGCACACCGGGTTCTAGTCCCGGTCGGGGCGCCGGATTCTGTCCCAGTTGCCCCTCTTCCAGGCCAGCCCTCTGCTGTGGCCAGGGAGTGCAGTGGAGGATGGCCCAGGTGCTTGGGCCCTGCACCCCATGGGAGACCAGGAAAAGCACCTGGCTCCTGGCTCCTGCCATCGGATCAGCGCGGTGCGCCGGCCGCAGCGCGCCAGCCGCGGCGGCCATTGGAGGGTGAACCAACGGCAAAGGAAGACCTTTCTCTCTGTCTCTCTCTCTCACTGTCCACTCTGCCTGTCAAAAAAAAAAAAAAAAAAAAAACAGACAAAAAAGAAAAAAAAGAAAAAAAAAACAAGGAAAGAGCTTATCACTGTAAATGGGGGAGGCGTGAAAGGAAGTGGGAAAGAGGAGTAGGAGGGAAACAGAACTAAGAGATGTTCTTGGGGCAGGCGCTGTGGCATAGCAGGTAAAGCTGCCACCTGCAGGGCTGACGTCCCATATGGGCACCGGTTCGAGTCCCGGCTGCTCCACTTCCAATCCAGCTCTCTGCTTTGGCCTGGGAAAGCAGTAGAAGATGGCCCAAGTCCTTGGGCACCTTCCCCATATGGGAGACCCGGAAGAAGCTCCTGGCTCATGGCTTCAGATCAGCCCAGCTCCAGCCATTGTGGCCATTTGGGGAGTGAACCAGTGGATGGAAGATCTTTCTTTCTCGCTCTCTGCCTCTGCCTCTCAGTAACTCTGCCTTTCAAATAAAATAAATAAATCTTGAAAAAAAAAAAAAAAGAGAGAGAGAGAGATGAAGGTCGGCACTGTGGCACAGCGGGTTAACGCCCTGGTCTGAAGTGCCGGCATCCCACATGGGCGCCAGTTCGAGACTCGGCTGCTCCACTTCCTGTTCAGCTCTCTGCTGTGGCCTGGGAAAGCAGTAGAAGATGGCCCAAGTCCTTGGGCCCCTGCACCCGTGTGGGAGACCCAGAGGAAGCTCCTAGCTCCTGGCTTTGGATCAGCGCTGCTCCGACCGTTGCAACCATTTGGGGAGTGAACCAGCAGATGGAAGACCTCTCTCTCTCTCTCTCTCTCTCTCTCTCTCTCTGAGTAACTCTTTCAAGTAAAATAAATAAAGCTTAAAAAAAAACAAGAGATGTTCCAGAGCAAATGTGTTAATTCTAGATCAACAAAGAAACAAAAAGAATCGTTCTTTGTAAACAAGAACTCTCCTCAAGTCCCTAAAGTTGAGTCTAAGCAATGGGGCCGTGGCTGAGCCCCGAGGGCAGTGTGCACGTGGCCTTCCTGGTCCTGCCACGCAAGGTGCTCACCCCCGTCCCTCGACGCACGCAGGCATAACCGGCACGCCCGGGCCCCAGCAGGAGAGAACCGGCTTACCCATGCTCATCTTGATGGGCAGGTTTTCTCTGCTGGCTGCCTCCACCAGGTGTCTCCGCACTTCCATCACGGCCTCTTTGTGCCTGGTGCTGAGCAGGGCGTCCCAGAGGGCTCTGGCGGCCGGGTCACTGCAGCAAAGCCACAAACAGAGCTTCAGAACCACCTCGTACTGGCTAACAGATGGGGCTGGAAGAGCCCCGAGCAAGCTCTTCGGCACTAACGGAGCCGTCCCTGCCGACAGGCTGTACGCATTCGGGTTATAACTATCCAATCTGTTTAACCGGCACAGAATACTGAGAATTAAGAGAATAATAAAATCAAGCACCCCCAAAATGGGAAGAAAAAAAAAGCTATATGGTGCCACAAGAAGGAAAACTGTAAGAAAAAATCATTTTTTAAGATCTTGCACTTATGGAAATTCCGCACTGGCAGAGGAGCATAAGTGTCATGTAAGTCTAATATAATGAACCTGTCAGTCACTGGAAGCAGTGTTATCAACTGGAGATAACGTACTTTCTTGTCTAAAAAACACAAAGCCATGAGCCGTGAGAATCCCTGCTCGAAAGTTAGTCCAAGTCTTCCTACTGGCAGGCCTCCCGAGTGCACTAAGTGCCCAGAGCCCCGAGGTTCCCGCGCGGGGCCCCAGACAGGAGCGATGGCAGTCAGCGAGGGCCTCGTGGCAGTTCACGGCACCGCCGCACGCGGCCTCCCCGGCTTGCTCCCCCACCAGCCCTCCGCAGCCGCCAACAGGCCACGTCCACATGATGAATGAGTCCAGTGTTCCTTCCGGGAGACCTCGGCCACGGGGCCAAGCCTACACATCTGCAGCAGCGCCTTCGAAACGGAATTCGGAGAAACAAGGGCGACGTCTGTGCCTGTCTAAGGAGCTTTTCTCCTCGTCCCAGCCCCACTGACTCTCCCAGGATCCAGCTGGCCACAGTTCAAGGCTACATGCATCTTTAAAATTTAGTTCTACAAGATGAATCCGTGGAGATATTAGTTTTAAAGCCATAGCTAATGAGATCTATCTTCTGGAACAATGGAATGGTACATTTCAGCACTGAGTTTACGTCTGGCACACAAAGCCCCTTTCATTCAAGAGCAGTTGTTTTCATCATCATCTGTGTCTCCACAGTAAACTACCATCACTGCTTAACGCACTCCTCTCGTTTAATCTGATCAAAGCTGTCACCACAACCGCTCTGCATCTAAAATTCGGAAATCTAAGTGGGCAGGGAAACTGTAGGTCAGGCCCTACATACGGCCAGGCCCTGGATTACAAAGCCAGCCTTCAGTGACCTGGTCAGTAAGAAGAGACAGACATAGAAGCAAAGAAATCACTCTAAAAAGTGTGACAGAAGCCAGGATTGACGCTTGCGTAGATGTCCATGCTGGCTGGGAGGACGGGCCTGAGGGAACGCTCTCTACTGCGAATGACGAGCAAGTGCAGGATCCCCACACCCGGGGTGGCCCAGGGAAGAAGCTACACCCCAGTCTGGGGAGGAGCGGGCAGGCTGCAGGGAAACTAAAAGCAAGAGAAGAAGGTGCACAGTCCCAGGTCCGTGACACGCAGGAGCGCTGCTGGGCTTCGTGCTAGCGTACATGGGAAGGGCAGTGGAAGGAGGGGCACAGAGAAGTGGCAGCCACACTGCGCGCCTTGCCAGGTCCTGCTGACGCCAGCGGGACACAGGACGCCAGAGTGTGCACCTGGCTTCACAATCGGAGAAGCAGCAGGGCTCCCGTCAAGTTCCTGAAGCTCTCTGAGGTGCTACAGCCGCAGTGACCGGAGAGCCCTGAGCAGAGTACCTCCCACTTTCCCAGCCCTGCAGCCCACAGGGCGCCTCTCCCCAGACCCGGGATGCCCCAGCTCCACACAGAGCTTCGGGGCGGAACATCCGCCCCTCCTCTTCCCCATGAAAGGGCAAATCCTGCGACCACAGTTCACCTGCCAGACCACGGGACGCTAGATTACCCAACAGATCAGTGGAGTTGCAATGCGAGCGCCCCTCACACACCCCAAACACTTGGGCTGCCGCTCTCCAAGCACAGGGACCTTCCCTCCCAGCCAGCAACTCTTGCTACAAATCCCTCTCTCTCCCTCGCCAGGCACCTGCAGAAATGCTGCATTACTGTAGAGGCGCTCTTACCACCCTCCGTGACGAGTGATGTTCCCTGTGCAGTCCCCTAACCTGGCATTCTCTGGTCTTCCAGTTTTGCATAACCCTTGTCAGCATCGGACTCCCTGCCCGCCCAAGTTTTCAGGTTTACTTGCTGGTTGCCACTCTCTCACTCATAAAAGGTGAGGGGTGGGGCAGGCACTGTGGTGTAGCAGGTAAAGCCACCGCCTGCAGTGCCAGTATCTCATATGGGCGCTGGTTCGAGTCCCAGCTGCTCCACTTCTGATCCAGCTCCCTGCTATGGCCTGGGAAAGCAGCAGAAGATGGCCCAAGTCCTTGGGCCCCTGGAAGAAGCTCCTGGCTTCTGGCTTCAGATTGGCCCAACTCCGGCCATTGTGGACATTGGGGGGCTGAACCAGTGGATGGAAGCCTCTCTCTCTGCCTCTGCCTCTCTGTAACTCTGCCTTTCAAGTAAACAAATCTTAGTATAAAAAAAAAAAAAAAAAAAGTGAGGGGCTTCCACGAAGGCAGGGATTTCTTTTTCACTCATGGTGAATGCCCACTTCCCACGACGGTGTCCAGGCCGGTGGTGGGTACGCTGCATAAACACAGAAGAAGTGATGCTTGCTAGTTGTGTAACTGGGGCACATAATTAGTTCTCCCACCTTTTCTCTGTTTGCTCCTCCCTGGAGACGGAAGTCGCCATCATGGGACGCACGGTCCTAAAGACTAAGTCAGAGAGTGCACAGGAAGCACCTTCCCGATCCATGACAAACATGAGGCACTAGGGGTCTGCGCGTGCCGGCCGCCGAGGTTGCTACACTGTGACCGCCGAGGTTGCTACACTGTGACCGCCGAGGTTGCTACACTGTGACTGCTGTGCGGAATGCGCTGTCTGGGCGTCACGGTCTGTGATGAACTTGCTCATTTACCCCGAGCACGCTTATTCGGATAATCCTGATTGGTGAATACACACCACAGTCACTTGGGCTTGTACACCTCTCCGTACAGAATCTGTGATTCTGAGCATGGATGCCGACTGCAGTTGGGTCGCTTCCTCGACAATCCTTTTGTCGATGTAAACAGTCTGAACAGACACGTGTGACAGTTCTCATGTCTTTTTCCTGTGCTGAACAGTTTCCTAAACACATCACCCAACCCCCACATCACACACGGTCACTTTAAGTTCGCCAAGCAAGCATTCATGAATTGATCCGGGTTCTCTACTACGGCATGGGAAAAGCCCAAAACCACACTCGCTGGTGTCTCTTAGGACTCCTGTACCCCACTCACTTCACCACGCGCTGAGCCACACACATTCCGACATCAACATCCATGCAGAGGGTGGGACTTACCTCACGCCTTTCTCTGACATGCTAATAAACAAGCCGATCCTCGGTGACATTTCACACGACTGAAGTTTCACGTGAAAACCACCCCTGCTACGGACTTCTATACATCAGGAAAAGTTCGTGGAAATCCACACTACAACCACAATAGCAGACTGCATGGAATTATCCTCTCGAGGGGTGCAGAATGCTCTGCTTTCCCAGTGAGGAAACAGGCTATTACAACAGGTCTAGTGCAGTAGACTAGAAGTAGGCATCGCTGTGCAGGGGCGGGAGCATGGGGTCTGGACAAGCCATCAGGGCTCGTCTTGCCACTTACTAGCTCTGTGTCTCCACCAGAGACTTGTTCTTTCTCTGTACATGCTTTCTCTTATGTAAATGTGGTTGCGTGGCGTACATATTCAATGGTTTGTTACGAGAACGGCATGAACAAATACACTTAAAGCACATGTAACAATGAGTAAATGCTCTATAAATGCAACGGTTGCAACAGCAATAAAATAGAAATAATAAAAAAAGTCAATGATCAGAATTTTTTGTGTACATAGAAGGAAGCCTATGTTAGAAGTAAAATATCCACCCCATCTACTTGCACACACAAATGTATACCCACTGTCGGCACATTAACTCTTTTTAAAAAAAAAATTTATTGAGAAACAGGAAGATAGTTGGATAGACAGAGAGCCCCAATCCACTGGTTCACCCCACACACCCACAACAGCGAAGGCTAAGCCAGGCATGCAGCCAGGAGCACAATCCAGGTCTCCCACAGGGTGGCAGGAACCCAATTAACTTGAGCCACCCCTGTTGCCTCCCAGGACTGCACACGCAGAGTGGGAGTCAAGAGTAGGAGCTGAGAATCAGACGCAGGACTCCACTGAGGGACCCAGCTAACTGCCCATTCCAGCACACACAGGCCTCCAGTGTGGGGCCCAGACACCCTCATCACTAGGCTAACTGCCCATTCCAGCACATGCAGGCCTCCAGTGTGGGGCCCAGACACCCTCATCACTAGGCTAACTGCCCATTCCAGCACACGCAGGCCTCCAGTGTGGGGCCCAACCTCATCACTAGGCTAACTGCCCATTCCAGCACACGCAGGCCTCCACTGAGGGACCCAGGCATCGCATCACTAGGCTAACTGCCCATTCCAGCAGCTTTGTTCTCTCCCATGAAATAACAGCAGCAGATAACATGGAACTCATAATCACAATGAAATAGCCAACCCAAGTCACCTCCTTACACACGGCAAGCTGACGCACAAAAGTTTCGTTTTTCAGGGACAAAATATAGAACTTTACTATCAATGACTTAGAAACCGACATCTAGAACTTCTAGAGTTTTTCTTACAAAGGTTTTAAAACAATGACTGCTATGTCAGCTTCTTGCTTCTTCAATTAAACGACACTGAAATCCTGGGTTCTGCCCATAAAACGACAAGCGTCACTTACACTAGGAATTCAGGTTCCATGGATATTCCAGTCTGACCTATCCAACAGCTGCACAACTCCTAGATCCGAAGTGTTCATCAGAGGTGATAGGAAAAGCATCATCTTCGCGTCTTCAGCAGGACGCCGCCGACCCCAACACAGGCAGATGGACATCTATTTTTAGCTTTAAAAAACAGCTAAAGAAATATTTATAGCATGCCTATTATATAAA